CTCTTTCATAACTTGTGTGCTTTAGCTGTATTCCAGCCTCCTTTCTAAACTATTCACCTTGGGCACATACCCAGAATGCTACACCTTACCATAGAGACATGTGTACACCCATGTTTATTGCTGCTCTACATACTACAGGAAGGAAATGGAATCAACCTAGATGTCCATCAACAGATGAATGAAAAATGAAAACCTGGTACATATATAAAATGGAACATTATTCAGCTCTAAAGAAAAATGCAATCACAAAATTTGCAGGGAAATGAATGGACTTAGAATATATAATACTGAGATCACCCAATCTCAAAAAGAAAGTAAAGGCATGTTTTCCTTTATATGAGGGTCTTCACCTATAATGTATACATATACATAGGTAACAAATATATGTGTGAACATAGGTTAGCATTTAGAAAGATAAAGAAGGTTGACAAGGCACACTTAAAATATACTAAAGATACAGACTTGAAAGTCATTCTTCATTCTGCTATGATGGTTTAAGAAAACAGACACTAAGTCTACCTAGTTTTCTACACAGAAAACTAACAGGAATAAGTGTGACAGGGGAGAACGAAATTGTATGAACCATTTTCTTTTAACTGCTTCTCTTAAATCATGACCTTGACCTCACTAGCCATCTCACTAGAAAAACCTTAAGCACCAACTCCAGCTGTCTCATAAAAAGGGCCAATTAGGCAGAGGATGGGTAAAGAGACACATACAAGTGTGAACTGAGGTTTCTCCCACCTTCTCTCTGGATCTACCTTGCTTCTGTGCTTTCTATTTCTTCTCCATAGCAGTCTAGACCTTTGCTCATATAAACCATTGCAGGCTCACTTCTTGCCTCCTCTCATTCGATTCTCTCATGTCTTTATTTTCATTGTGACATACGGTTTTAAAAATAAATGAATATGGGGCTGAGAGATGGTTCAGTAGTTAAAAGCACTGGTCCCTCTTGCAGAGGACCCAGGCTCAGTTCCCAGCACCAACATGGTGGCTAACAGCTATCCATAACTTCAGTTCCAGGAGATCCAATGCCTTCTGGCCTCTGAAGGCAGAGGCAGGTGGATCTCTATGGGATTGAGGCCAGCCTGGTCTATACAGCCAGTTCGAGGTCAGCTGGTGCAACAGGGAAACCATCTCAAAAAGACCAAAAAAAAAAAAAAAAAAAGACAAGGGCTAGAGAGATGTACTCCTGCAGAGGACCCAGGTTTGAGTCCCAACATCCACATGGCAGCTAACAGCCATCCATAACTCCAGTTCCAGGGGATCCAATGTTCTCTTCTGACCTCCTAGGCATTACACAACACAGGTGCACTTGCATCCATGCAGGCATAACAGTCATACACATAAAATGTTTTTTAAAAAGGAGCGGGGTTCACTGTATAGCCCAGAGTGGCCTGAAACTCACTCTGTAACCCAAGACGGCATTAAATTTACAATCCTCCTGGCCAGATTAATTTTAAAAACACATGTACTTACATATTATCTGTTTACTATCTACTTATCTTTAAGCCAAATCTCAAAAATTGCTTTCAAAAGTTCTCCTAGAGATGTAGGGATAAAACTCTCCTGACAAAGAAATCCAGAAGTAGCTTTCCTCGGTTAGCCCCATCTTTTCCTTTTTTTTTTGGGGGGGGGGGTCTTTTTGAGACAGGGTCTCCCTGTAGCCCCAGCTGTCCTGGAACTCACTATGTAGACCAGGCTGGCCTTGAACTCACAGAGATCCGCCTGCCTCTGCCTCCCAAGTGCTGGGATTAAAGGCGTGCACCACCACGCCCGGGGCCCCATCTTTTCTTAAAGCCCAGAGATAAGACCCAAAGTCTCACTATGACACTGCTCTATCCATTTTAATGCTGCCTTATTTTCCTATCTTGATTTCTACTAAGTTATAATTCCTTGAGTATAAGAATTAATAAGGTCAAATTCTACTACTTGTATTACATCAAGAAAAATTTTAATTTATAGCTACCAAGGAAACTAGTAACACTTCAGAGGGAATGCTAAAAATAAGCTTGTAATATTTTATCAAATTGATTGAAAGAAAATGAGAAGCTTTTACATGTAAGTCTTCGAGTTTTTAGTATCAGCTGGTTCCACCAGAAGGAAACAATTTTAGCTTAGCTATAAACCCGAAATACACTTCCTTCAAATGCTTTAATTTAGACTTTGCTAAAACAAAAATTCTCCCTGGAATTCATCTTATTTTACTATAACCTTTCTGCAGAACTTTGGGATTATAAAATGTTCACACATGGTCTTCCATGGTCCTCACAATAGCCTTAGCTATGGAAGACTGATGCTGTAGCTCTTGCCCATAAAGAGGTTAGAAAAGAGAGGCTGGGAGAAACCACTATACAATATGCAGGCATAGGATAGTGTTCTAGAATTAAAATGTAGTAACGGTTTTAAAGTTTCAAAAGAAATAATCTGGCTCAAACGTTTTCATACATATGTCTATCCCCAACATTTACAACAGTATTGTATTCCCATAAGTCATTTAAATTATTTTGAGAAAAAGGCTGTTTTTCTAGGGGCAATGTGATGGCTAATCTTAACGGTCAGCTTGAAAACTAGACTCACCTGGGAGATGGGCCTTTGGGCATATCTATGGGGGAATTATCTGGGTTGGGTTAATTGCGGTGAGAAGACCTGTTCATTTCGGGTGGCACTTTCCCTAGTCTGGAAATCCTGGGCAACAGAAAAGATGTCCTGAAGGCAAAACTCTACCCATCAGAGCTCCATTTTTCAACCATCCAAATTCATTTGAAGGAAAAAAGCTTAAACTGAAGAAGTTTCCTGCTCCTCAAAGGCAACTACCTGGGAGAGTTTCTCCAAAGTCAGCACACAGAAGTCAATAAAGCTATGGACCAAGGAGGCCAGGCTATATCTCTGATTGGCAGCAGAACTGGGCAGCAGCACCTACATGGTACTGGTTTTGCAAGTATAGAAGACACGAGCTAGATGAAGTCATAGGGTCCTGCTTCATGGTTTCCAGGAGCAGTTGAGACCAGGCAATGTGTGTCAGGGCTTGAGTCCCTTTCAAAGAGACCCTGAAAGACCACTGTGTAACAGTGAAAGTGAAGCCTAAGTTGCAATGGAGACCTGGAATGTTGGAGATGCCAGCACTTTGGGGCATCCATCAAGGAAAGTTGCAGGTACGGGGTAGAACCAGCTAACTGAGGTGTAGCCACTGTTGCTTGGAAGTATGTAAATTGGTTATTTTATAGGGGCTCACAGTTAAAAGACTGCCTTGAGTTTCAGATGAGACTTGGACTTTGAACTTTTTAATTTTTTTCTTTCTTTCTTTTTGAAGCAGGGTATCCCTGTAGCCCCAGCTGTCCTGGAACTCACTATGTAGACCAGGCTGGCCTTGAACTCACAGAGATCCACCTGCCTCTGCCTCCCAAGTGTTGGGACTGCAAGCATGCGCCACAACACCCAGCTCAATTTTTATTTTATGTGTATTGCTTGCACGTAAGTGCACTTGTACATGGCATGCAATGCCTGCAGAGTCCAGAAGAGGGCATTGGATCTCCTGGAACTGGAGTTAATGGATGGTTTTTAGTCACATGTGGGTGCTGGGAATCGAACCTGGGTCCTCCGCAAGAGTAGCCAGTGCTCTTAACCACTGAGCCATCTCTCCAGCCCCAACTTTGAACTTTTAAAACTCTTGGAATTATTAAAGATCATGAGGACTTATATGACGATGAATTGCATTTTGTATTGAGATAAGCACAAGATCTGGGGGACAAGGAGTGCAAGGTTATGATTCAATATGATGTGATGGTTGTCAAGTTGACAAGGGGTAGGTTATAATGGTTACTTTTTCCTTTTTTAAAAAATTTTATTATTTTTATTTATGTGTATGCATGTATTGCCCCACATGTAGGTAAGTGCACCCATGTCATGCAATGCCCACGGAGGTCGGAAGAGGCTGTCAGATCCCGTAGGACTGGAGTTTCGGACAGTTGTTAGCTGCCATGTGGGTAACTGGGATTCAAACCCAGGTCTTCTGCAACAATAACCAGTGTTCTTAACTGCTGAGCCATCTCTCCAGCTCCATGATGGTTACTCTTAATGTCAACTTAATGAGATCTGAATCCCCTGAGATCTGATCATGCCTATGGAGGATTATCTTGACTGGGTTGACTGAGGTAGGAAGACCTGTTCACTGTGGGTGGCACCATTTCTTGGGATGGGCTCCTAGACTCTATGAAAGGAGAAAGTGAGCTGAGAACAAGCATTCATCACTTTTTGCTTCCAATGGATGCAATGTACGCAGCTGCCTCAAGCTCCTAATGCTGAGTCCCTGCCATGATGGACTATAACCTTGAACAATGAGCCAAAATAATAAACAAATCCTCCCATATTTTGCTTTTGTTAGGGTATTTGGTCACACCAATAGAAAAAGTAGCTAATACAAGCAGGAAATAAACTAACAGAATATATATTCATTCCAGTACTTATTTTACTTTTCTCAGGAATGACCATCATGAGACCAAAAATCAGGAAAAAAACAGGTAAACAAGACAAGTTTATCCCATTTACAATTGGTCAATGCAAAACTTTCTCAGTCTGTGAAATAAAGATGCTTCCCTAAAGCCAGGCATGGTGGCACATGCCTTTAGTCCCAGCACTCGGGAAGCAGAGAGGCAGGCGGATCTCTGTGAGTTCCAGGCCAGCCTGGTCTACATATCAAGTTCCAGGCCAGCTGGGGTTACAGGAAGACCCTGTCTCAAAAAAAAAAAAAAAAAAAAAAAGATGCTTCCATGACACCAGGTGCCAGAGACACAATAACAATTCAAACAAAATGAAACATCCCAACAGGGAAATCCAGGAAGAAGCTGCATAAGCAAAAGGCCAATCTGCAGCTTATGAAAGGGAACTGGACTCAGACTGGCATCTTCAGACTCAAAAACAAGTCTCCTGACAAACTAAAAATGTTCTCTATACATAAACATTTAGTTGTGCCAACCTATATTTACTTTTTATAAAATGAGCCTGAACACAGAAGCTGAGTCCACACTATTAATAAAGCTTGTTGTGCTGGTTAATTTTGTCAACTTAATACAAACTAGAGTCACCTAGGAAGAAGAAGCCTCAATTGAGGAATTTCCTCCATCACACTAGCCTGTGAGGATGTCTGTGACACATTTTCTTAACTGTTAATTGATGTGGTTGATGTCACCCCTAAGAAGGTAGGCCTGGTCTATGTAAGAAAAGTAGCTTAGCGAGCCAGAGGGAGCAAGCCCACTAAACTGCATTCCTCTATGGTCTCTGCTTCAAGCTCCTGCCCTGGCTTCCTTGACGATGGACACTTTACTGCATGCTGAATGAAATAACCCCTTTTTGGTCAGTGTTTGCCACAGCAACAAAGAAGCCAAACTGGAACACTTGTATTCAAATGGTATGTATAAACAGGGCTGGGGATGTTGGTTAATTGGCTGGGTGCCTGCCTGGCACACCTGAGGCTCTAAGTGCAATTCCTATCACCCTATATGTATATGTGGTGGCACATCCCTGTAATTTGAGCTGAACTCTTGAGATATGGAAGCAGGAGGATCTGAAATTCAAGGTCATTCTTGGCTCATAGTGAGTTTGAGACCAGCCTGAGGTCTAAGACCTTGTCACACACACAAAAAGACAACTGTTGCCATGCAGACGCAGGAGTGGGCCCAGGAGAGAGTCCATATAACAGTGAGAGTCCCAGGCAGCATACAATGTAGATAACAGAACATGCCAACCAGGGGTCAGCTATAACTAGCTCTGCAGTATTTGCACTCTTCCTCTTCAAAACTAAAAAAAATTGCAAGCATACTTACTATGGGTCTGCAAACAAGTTTTCATGATAAGGAAGCACAGTGATTTCCTAGAAAGACTCATTAAGACCTGGACTTACTGTCTTCTTCCACATGTTTTTCACAAATCAGAAGGAAAGCTAGGAAAGAAGTAAAGGATTACAGCCATAGATGTCAATTTGTACCTTTGTCATGAACTCCTCCAGCTGGTCTACAAACAGCTTAGTCTGCTGCTGAATGAACTGCTCACAGGCCGACTTAAGGTGCCGGTCTACATCTTTCTTAGAGTCAAGATAATGTTCTCTTATCTCAGGAGTACCCTGAAAAAGATGGCAATTTCCTTCTATTTTCATGTGCCTAGAAATTACCAGACATGTAAAGAATGCCATTTAGCTCCCACCACAAATGAACCAGACTCTTTCTCACCTCCAACAAGAACTCTATCAAGGCATTGTTGCTATTCAGCCTAAAAAATCTTGGAACAGTCATAGGGTTCAGGATTTTAAATGCTGCATCTGTGAAACAAAATTACTTATCCAGTGAACATGTACAAGTTCAACAGAGAAGCCCTGTGTAACACATTAGCTCTCTACTGCCACAAAGCCAGGAGGTATTCATCTTCACCAGGCCCCCCGCAGAGGAGTTAAGCAAGATGAGCACCAGTGATAGCTACAGAGCCCACACTGTCATTTCCAAAAGTCACAACTGCAAAATGACTATTAATCACAAGGATCTATTTATAGAAAGAAAGAAAAATTATAGACAGTACAATAAATAAAATTCTACTACTTTACCTTTAGATGTTCATACTTACCCAGCTTCTTTGTTATGATCCTGGCTGGCATAGAAATTTACTCACTTGAAGTACAGTGAATAAATTAATGTGTCAGCCAGGAAGAAAACACCAAAAGGACATATTTACCCCTTAACCTCCAGACTAGAATCTATGCCAAGTACTAACTGAGGTCTCATTGATGTTCAAATGCAATAAGATATAACATTAGTCATGAGAGGTTAGAGGCTTAAAAGTGAAGACAGGAAGTATTATTAAGTGACAGCTTAAAAAGAGACCATGGCTTGGCTTTGCCAGACTAAAGAAAGCAAAGTATGAGCTGCTCCCAAACGTATCTTTCAAGCACATGCCATAATAACAACTATTGCCTTGAACCAGGTCTTAATGAAAAAGAACCTCTATTAGATTCAGTACTCACAGTAGAAATCCCAAAGACTGTTTGCAATAAATAGAAACAAATCACCACATGGTGGTTTACATAAGTTTTATAATATTTGGCAAAAAAAAAAAAATCTTGCAAAAATCTTTGTCTCGTTTTCTCACATCTCAGTTGATCTACATTAGAAACAAGTGACAGCCATGTATGAATTAGAAATAAATAAAAGTAAATTAGCCCTGCTGTACTCTATCACCTAAATAACAGACTATCAATCATGAATTCCTCAAGGTCCGATGCACCATTCTCATGTCTCACACTGAAAGAAGGAAAACAACCAAAAGAGTCGGGAGACATAAGTTCCTTGTGCAAATACTTTTAAAAAGTAAGCATTCTTAAAAGCAGAACTCAGAAAATCTGACTCCTATTCAAAAATAAAAATGATGAATTTTACAAATAACATCCACAGGCTTGACAGAAACAAAAGGATTTACTGTGGTGGATACATGGGAATGTTAGGAGAAAATGGGCCAATTATTGTAATATAACTCAAGAAGCCAAGATGGAGCTCAGCTAAGTTAAACTGAGTCCTCACTTTCAGATAAGCACAGAAATGGCACTTTCTGAACCATAGAACACAAAAAGTAATTTGTATCACTAGTCCCTCAATTGCCTCAAGAATAAGACAATTTGATTCATTAGATAAATAGATGCCTTAAGGAATAAGAGCTTAAATCTTTCGGAAATTATTAAGAAAAATAAAGCTTACATAATTTTGTAAGAGAAACAAATTTTGTTTATGATATGCCCTTAACTACTTAAAGTCAATGATTCAGACAGCACCTACTTTGATCTTTTAAAAATCATCTCTTGGTAATTCAGAAACCAATCATTAAGTCAAGTGAATCATCTTTCCCAAGATGAGTTGAAATTCTACATATTTAACAACCACCTTATTTAACAATAACTTTAAATTTACTTAAGCATCACCAACTTGATGTTATCTTATGCACATTCATTTCCATTCTTAATGATCTTGATAACCCAGTGAAGGTACCACTTCCTTGTTGTTCCTTTTACATAGGAGGGAAATAGTAGAGAAGCAAAATCCTCCACATACTCATTCATGTTTACACAAGAGTCAGGAACAAAACCAGACTTTCAAATACTTAGCTAAGTATTTCATTTTTACTATGGCTTCCTGAATTCTCATAAACTAACAAACTCTACTCAATGCTTAAAAACCATTCCAATTTGCTGACACATGCCATTTAGCTTATAAGTGTTTATTATACTGACTTTTTATCTTACAGCTGCTTATGGTAATATGAAGGGCCTAGGAGAAGTGATACTGTATTATGAGTTGAAATATTCAGATAAAGTTCTCTTCACAAAGAAAATACAACAAATTAGAAGTAATTAGGACACCGACAGCTCAGTTTAGTATGAATAAGTAACATATTGAGCAAGCAAAGCATGCAAAAGAAATTGCAGATGAACATAAAATAAACCTGTAGCCTGTGCTGACACACCTGGAAAGGTAAAACACACCCAACTGTGCCAGCCACGGCAACAAAGTACCTCTAGTTTTCTTGAGGTCCAGGGAAATTTCCTTAATGGTGAATTCAGTGTGAAATGGAGCAATTTGTTCTCGAAGAATCAAAAGGTGCTTAATTAAGAAAAGTTGTCCATCAATCTGAGTCTAAATTATAAGACAAAAATGGATATTATCATAGTTTAAATAAAAATATGAGCATACAGAACACATTATTACTCAACATTAATCCATTTAAATTCATAGCCTTAGGCTACCAATACTGTTTTGCTGTACAATGAACTTTCTCTAGGTTACTCATGTCAGAATTCTTTGGGAAATTCTTGCTTTAAACTCTCAACATTATCATTTGCTCTACTGATTCCAAGAAAGCAATCACACAAAAGGCTAGGAAGAGAAGTCTAGTCTATTTAACTTGGCAGGGAAGTAGAAAGATGATGCAAGAACCAAACAGAAGAGAAAAGCTCAAATTATGAGCCAAACTCTGCCATCTCACAGCCTTCTGGTCTCGCTTTAGGAGGGCATCTTTCCCATTTGGTCCATGTGGTTTCAATATCCACAGTACCAGGTATACTCCTATTTATACAAAAGTAAAAAAGGAGTCTCCAAGTGTAAAACAGCCTACCGTGCCTATCCTGCTTTAGCCTGACACCAATGGAGCCCTAACTCCCTACACAAACCCTTCTGACATCTCAAGACCATCTTCAAGGGCCCTGTAACCAAAGCAGAGACCAAAGCTCTGAGTTTCAGAACAATAATGAATCATAATTCTCATGTTAGGAGTCTGAATATTAATAAAAGCAAAGTTGTAGTTGCTCCTTCCTATTCCTCAAGGTGGAATCTTATTTTGAAAATATTTCTAATAAAATTTGCATATTACCTTAGGAAAAAATAAAGTTATTTTTCAGGAAGGCAAGGTATTTGTAAACAAAGTGACATATCCCTAATCTCTATTTCCTGCCATTTTAAATAAACATAGTCAATATAAAAATGACTTACACAATGGAAATTCACTTTGTATTGGGAAACAGAGTATAAGATAAATATAAAATGTTACTTTTTTTTTTTTTTTTGTCTTTCTCCCTGTAGCCCCAGCTGGCCTGGAACTCACTTTGTAGACCAGACTGGCCTTGAACTCACAGAGCTTCACCTGCTTCTGCCTCCCAAGTGCTGGGACTAAAGGCATGCACCACCACACCCGGCAACTTGCCCTTTCTTTAAAATAGCAACTTTGACAGCAAAAATAGTATCATTTTAAGATTTCATTTACTTTATTAAAGCTATTGTTACCCAGCAAATAGTAGTATCATGTTAAATTGAGTACCTAGTCTATATAGTAAATTAAGTATGTAAGAGTAAGTTCTTACCTTAAAAAACTAGAAAAACTCTCTAAGTTGAAAGGCAAAAATCTGAGCCATGTAAATAAACAAGCTAATGCTTAGCAAACTGAAGGCTTCCTCATACATTCCTAAACCCCTCATAACATGTAGGAAACAGAATTACATAAAGAAGACGGCCTACAGTAAATGAGCACAGAGGCTCAAAGGGCTCAAAGAAAAGACAGTAGCACAAAAGGCAAGCAAATGACCCTCTCCTTAACTAAGCAATTCTTTGTTCCTAATGACCTAAAAAACACATGCTCATTGGAGAAAATCTGGGAAATAAAGAAATGTGCAGGGAATAAGGGCAGAGATCACCTAGCCACCTACTTGCTTCATGGTGGTTTTTTTACTACATAGTCATATTCTGTGTCTTAGTTCTATATTGTCTTTTGTCTTAATATGTTTAAGCTACGTTTTATTGTTTTACTTCTGTAAGTTTAGCAGCTGTGTGATATTCCACCATACAGAATATGCCCCAAATTTTAGTTAACCACTTCCACAATGATTTAGGCACAATTCCTAAATGTTCACCAATTATAAAAATGTCAGAGGACAGACCTGCAAGTAGTATTTAGAACTCTACCTTGGTTTTCCATACTCTTTCAGTCCTTACAGGGAAATTTTACTTCAACTCTCCATTCATGAACAGTAGAGTATATATAGTGGTCCTTACAAAGGTAGGGCTTTTCTGGTAACAAGATACCAAATTCTTTTATCGAGATACTTTATATTTTTATTTTATGTGTATGAGTGTATTGCCTGCATGTATGTAAGTGCATCTGTGTTGTGCAGTGCCCATGGAGGTCAGAAGGAGGCATCAGATCCTCTGGAACTGGAGTTACAAACAGATGTTAGTCGCCATATGGGTGCTGGGAATTGAACCCGGGTCCTCTCCAAGAGCAGCCAGTGCTCTTAACTGCTGAGCCATCTCTCCAGCCTCAGGATACTTTATTTTTTAATTTATGTAAAGCTTTGAAATTAGAAATTGAGTTTGAACACTGAAGACAACAATGACCTTTTGGCTACAAAAAGCCTACACAGCTCCCTCCTATAGGCACCAGGTATTAAGTAGAGAGTTAAGTAGAGCAACACCAGTGGCCACACTCCGCTTCCTAAAGCAGCTGCAGAAGGACGTACGTACCAGAGCTCCCAGCCCTAGAGCCCATCCTAATTAAAAACCTTAAGCCACAGTCACAGCAACTACTTTTAGTCACACAACCAAGGGCCATATTGCCTATCCTCAAAAGTGAGTGGCTAATTTCCTCCAGGTAAGGTCATTCAACTATTTAAAACACTGGAAGGATGATAAAATTAATGTTTCCTTGAGAACAGGCTATTGGTATTCCAGGGAAATAGCCGTATTATTTTCCCTGTAGTATTTATAACCTTAGTACCATTTCTGGTACATTAGCAAAGTTGGACTCTCTTAGTGCAGTCTTTAGTGAGCACTGTAATGAAATACTAGCTTCTTTCAAATGGCCTCAAAATTCACTCCTATGAACAAATTTTACTTCCAAATGGCTTTAAATTTCTGTGCCTAAAAAAAAAAAAATGTCATATTGCACAATGTTATTGTAGGTAACAAAATTTCACCTAATGTTTCATCAAACCTTGTTTTTGCTGATAGACTCTGACGCTCCTAGTAAGGACTGAATGCAGGCAGACAATGCTTCCTGTGATAATCCTTGGAACACCGCCCTCTGGTGGAATAAGAGAGAACCATCAGCTTGTGGCAGTTCACAAAACACAAGGGCCCTGAGACAGAGAACAGTGCTTACTTCCCTTCCAACACCGGACTAATTTATTATTTGAGCCATACTCCCTCAAGTTTTCTATGCTAATTCAACTTCTCTGGACCACCACATGGTTCTGTAACGTACACTCATGTCTGAAAATACTCAAGTGCCTTTTAATAAATCCATACTAGCACCAGCTCATGCCTAGCACTGTACTGGTTGCTAGAAAATATGAGTATCAATTAGGGAGGCAGGGTTAACCTCACAGAGCCCTCACTCTAGAATAATCTCATATTGTGGTGGGCTAGGGCTTGCTATATAGCCCAGGCTAGCCTCAAACTCCAGACCTTCCTTCTTCAGTCTCCAGAGTACTAGGCTTACAGATGCATACCACCACATCTATTTAGTGGGCTGTTTAAAAGCTCAAAAATAACTATAAAACAAACCCTGAGTGAACCCTCTTCTAAAAAAATCTATCCCAGGTAATCGATAATTAGTGTTTTAAAATTAGTATACATGACTCTATTGCAGTATTATTTTAAACAGGAAAAAGCCCTCAAAACTAGAAATAACTAAATTGTTAACAGTAGGAAACTGACAAAGTGCCAGTAAATTATAGATTACTGTGTATAAATAAAGAGTATTTTGAGGAAAGTGGTGAAATTCTTATAAAATAAAACATAATTAAGTAGAGCCACGCCTGGTGGTACCCAGCTATAATCACAGCATTTGGGAGGTGGAGGCCCACCTCAGTTACATATCAAGGAAAAAGCCAGCATGGACTACATGAGACCTTGTCTGGGGGAGAAAAAAGGAAAAATGAAATAAAAGATTCATACTTCATTCACAGGCATAGTTGCTCATACCTGTAATCCTAAAACTTAGGAGGCTGAGGCAGGGTTGCTCGGAGTTCAAGGCCAGTTTGGGTTATATAGTTCTAGGCCATATAGGCTACAAAGTGAGATCCAGTCTAAAAAAATATAAAAGAACACAACAAAAGAATAATAGGTAAGCCTGAGGTCTAAGACAAAACCAGGCAGAAGAACCACTTGGGCCTACTTATCATTTGGCTAAAGTCCCTGTTCAGCACCCTCAGAGGTTTTATTCACTAAGATCTGGGGTAACAAAGGGTTTGTGTGGAACATGACTCCTGCACATTTCCCTTGGGTTACTAGCTCTACTGTAGAGTTGTTCAATCCTGGTCTCTTCCCATTATTCCCTGCCTAATTGGGAACCTGAAGAAGCAAAGATGGTCAAATGTTGTCCTGCCATCCTCCGCAAGCCAGTTCATGAACCACAGTTTAAATCAGTGTGAAGGACCCCCATGGGACCTTGTTTCTGCAGTATGGAGCAGAAAAATTCATTCCAAAGCAATTGACATTGAGACGTTTTCACATACATTTCTAATCTCTATATACATGACTATCACTGTCTTTTTTTTGAGACAGGGTCTCTCTATATCTCCAGCTAGCTTGGAACTCATTATGCAGACCAGGCTGGACTCGAACTCACAGAGATCCCCCTGCCTCTGCCTCCCTAGTGCTGGGATTAAAGGCATGTGCCACCACGCCTGGCTTAGAACCACATTCTTAAGCAGTAATGGCATCTGGACAATTCATTACATTACTGCTGTATGCCATCACTTCTCTCTTCAATATGCATCAATCAAGAAATAGAATCATGGCGCTGGAGAGATGGCTCAGTGGTTAAGTGGCTGCTCTTGCAGAGGAACTGGGTTCAATTCCCAGCACCCACATGGCAGCTAACAACTGTGTGTAACTCCAGTTCCAGGGTATCCAACGCCCTCTTCTGATCCCCGTGGACATTGCACAAGAGGTACACTTACGTACATGCAGGCAATACACTCATACACATAAAAATAATAATAATAAATATTTTTTTAAAAACTAATGAAATCTTAAAAAGTGCTTTTAAAAAGTACTAACTTCAGCCAGGCGTGGTGGCACATGCCTTTAACGCCAGCACTTAGGAGGCAGAGGCAGGCAGATCTCTGTGAGTTCAAGGCCAGCCTGGTCTACATAATGAGTTCCAAGCCAGCTGGGGCTACAGGGAGACCCTGTCTCAAAAAGACCAAAAAAAAAAAAAGTACTGACTTCAGCAAGTAACTAAACCTAGCTCATGGCTAGAAACATAGGCAATCTCAACACTGTTAAGAATACTGGCTGATGGGCTGGAGATGACTTAGTGGCTAAGAGCATTGGCTGTTCTTACAAAAGAATCACAGCACCCACATGGCAGCTAACAACCATTTGTAACTTCAGTTTGAGGGGGGTCTGACACCCTCTTCTGTCCTCCATGGGCACTGCACATCACAGATGCATTTACACACATGCAGGTATAACACTCATACACATAAAAAAAATTAAATTTAAAAAATGCTGGCTGAGCTGTCTCAACAACAAAAAATAGATTACAGCAGCTGAATGTAATACTAAATGTGACACCTGATATATTGTTTAACATTCCTACATCTCTTTTCACACAGAAACTATAGCACACAAATTAATCAGTAGTTTTAAACTTATTTTTAAAAACTGATGAAAACTAATCTGAGCCCCAATCCTCAGAAAGACACAAATACAAATATATGGTAAAAGTTTACCCACAATTTCAAGGACTCCCTGAATCAAATGGACCTTACAGTCACTGCCTGTGCTGGATAGCTTCGTTTGCCAACTTGACACAGATGGAAAGAGGAAACCACAGCTGGGGAACTGAACTGCCTCTCTCAGATCAGCCTGTGGGTACATCTGTGAGACTGTCTTAGTTTGTTTCTCCATTGCTGTGACAAAATACTCTGACCAATACCAACTTGGGGAGGAAAGAGTTTATTCAGCTTACATCTCCCAGGTCGAAGTTCATCAGGGAGCCCAAGGTAGGAACTCAGGGCAGGAACCTGGAGACAGGAGCTAGAGCACAGGCCATGGAGGAATGCTGCTTACTGGCTTGCTCCCTGGCCCCTGCTCAGCCTGCTTTCTTATGCAACATAGGCCCACCTGCCCAGGGGTGGCACCACCCACAGTGGGCTGGGCCCTCCCACATCACTCATCAAGAAGATGCCCCTCAGACATGGCACCAGGCCAGTCCAATAGAGGCAATTCCCCAATTGAGGCTCCCTCAACCCAGGTTTGTCAAATTGACACTAAAGCTATCCAACACAGACATTTTCTTAATTGGAGAGTGATATGTGAAGGTCCAGCCCAGTGTGACTGGAACCACCCCTGGGCAGGTGGTCCTGCGCTGTATGAGAAAGCAGGCATACCAGGGCACGGTGGTGTACGCCTTTAATGCTAGCACTCAAGAGGCAGAGGCAGCTGAAGCTTAGTGAGACTGAGTCCAGCCTGGTTTACATAGTGAGTTCCAGGCAGCTGAGGCTCAGGGAGACTCTGCCTCAGAAACAAACAAACAAGCAAGCAAACAAAAAATCCCAACAACGACAACAACAAAAAAAGCAGGCTGAGCATAGGTCAGAAGGAGCAAGCCAGTAAGCAGCATTCCTCCATGTTCAGTGCTTCCACTCCTGCCTCCAGGGCCCTGCCCTGAGTGCCTGCCCTGGCTTCCCTCAAAAATCAATGGTGATCAAGACATGTAAGTCAAATTAACCCTTTCCTCTCCAAGTTGGTTTTGGTCAGAGTATTGTATCTCCATAACAGAAAGCTAACTAGGATACTGCCATATCTAAAAATCCTGACTCTAAGAATGTAACACAAAATATTGCCCTTAACCTCTTAAATTAAAATTTTAAAATATTCCAAGCAAATTCTAGAATAAGCAATTCACAGTAAAGATAAAATACACACATACATCTATGCATCTATACAATTTGGAGAGACAGACAAGCGTTCTTCGAACCGTGGGATACCACATCCCATGAAGATCTGCTGGAGAAATCGTGGTCTGTGGTCTAGGATTGAGGGAATCTGTTGAACCTAAAACCCAAATGGAAATGGTGTCCGTCATACAGTAATTTATGTGTCAACTATTAATTAGTTTTTTTCTCATTGGCTATCAACAGCTAGAAGTCATCAATTTTCTCCGCCTCATCTTTAATCAAGAATGAGCTAAGAAATCTAAAGCAGTGACAGGTGGGGGTTAAGACGGTAACTAAGAACAACTGGAGTACACATACATTCCATGCCTGTATGTATGCTCAACCCAAGTTATTTTTCCCAAATTGAGATCAATAATTTTTATAAAATAACTAAAAACAGAAAAAGTTCCGTATCTATATTATGGAATACAACCAGATTCTACAAGGCAGATCCATACGTCACCATGTAAAAGTAAGTGGGAACAAAATGGATGCAGGAGAATGACAAGAAAACAGTTTTCAACCCCAGTACTGGGGTCTGTCTGAACACAGGGCCTTGCACATGCTGAGCAAGCACTCCACCACTGAGCTCTAGCCCAACCCTGCCCCCCCTTTTTTAGCGTTTTAAATTTTGAGACGGGGTCTTAGTAAGTTGTTCAGGCTGACCTTCAACTCACTTGTAGTCCAGGCAGGCCTTCAATCTATGAGTTCCTGTCTCAGTCTCCCAACTAGCTAAATTACAGACCTGTACCACCAGGCCTGGCTAAAGCAAAGCAATTTTTTTTTGGGGGGGGGTCTTTTTGAGACAGGGTCTCCCTGTAGCCCCAGCTGTCCTGGAACTCACTATGTAGACCAGGCTGGCCTTGAACTCACAGAGATCCGCCTGCCTCTGCCTCCCGAGTGCTGGGATTAAAGGTGTGTGCCACCACGCCCGGCTTATTATTTTTTTAATGTGAATAATTTTATGCCTGCACGTATGTAAGTACACCCATGTTATTGTGGAGGTCAGAAGAGGGCATCAGATTCCCTAGAAATGGAGTTATAGACAGTTGTTAGCTGCCATGTAGGTGCTAGAAAACAAACCCAGGTTCTCTGTAAGAGCCCTTAGTGCTCTTAACCGCTGAGTCATCTCTCCAGCCCCTTTTTTTGTCTTTTTGAGACAGGGTCTCCCTGTAGCCCCAGCTGGCCTAGAACTCACTTTGGAGACCAGGCTGGCTTCCATCTCATAAGATGCCTCTGCCTCCTCCTGAGTTCTGGGATTAAGGTGTGTGCCACCATGCCAGTTTTAAACAGGAACACGAACCAAAGTTGGTTTGCCTGTCAGCTTGCCTTCTATGCTGAGCTGTTATCACTTACAGATCTTGTTTGTGTAGTAATTCCCAAATGATGAGAACTGGCCTCCTCAACACTGTATAGATGAGAAAAGGCTGGTTTTAGCCAATGAGGAGTGTGGCTGAACAAAATGACACCTTTGAAAGTAAAGTCAGTCACTTGTGTGTCTAGAGAGACTTAAAACGAGCCACAAAGGTGAAGCTTGTACAAATCTCTGGGACAAGAGATAATATTCATATATGGACTATTAGGGGACACTTCAAGAAACTTTACTAAATGTTTAGTACAATACTAATTTATGGTTATGTAACCATAAATGCAATGATTTATGGTTATGTATGGTATGGTTAGGTATTATGGAATAAGCTGTCCTCATTCTAGAGAGATGCTAAACTATTTGATGTTTCAATAATTTACTTTAAAATAACTCACTGCCTAGTGTGATGGTGAACACCCTTAATCCCAGTACTTGAGAGTGAGGGAGATTTGTCAAGTGCTCAAGGTTAGCATGAGTTAAACAGTAAGACCCCTAGCAAGAGTGAGTGTGTGTGTGCATTATGATAAAATGCTGAGTCTTGAATTTGAGTGTTTGTTTTCTTTTCTACTTTTCTACATATTTGACTTTTTCAATAATAAAAAATAAAAGTATTATCTATGATGAACTGGTAACATTACAAAATAAACATTATTTCTTTTTTTTAAAAAAAAAATCTAGATCTGCAAGTGCAGATCTGGAGGTTGAGGCTGGAGAGACGGCTCAGCGGTTAAGAGCACTGACTGCTCTTGCAGAGGACCCAGGTTTGATTCCCAGCACCCACATGGTGGCTACAAACCATCCTTAACTCCAGTTCCAGGGGAATCCGAAGCCCTCCTCTGACCTCCACGGCACTGCATGACATGGGTGTACTCACACACATGCAGGCAATACACTCATACACATAAAATTTAACAAAAGATCTGGAGGTCATGTAGCATAGACTTAAGGGAGAGAAATGAGAGAAGTGTTAAGGTTTAACATGTTCACTTTAAAAGACAAAAGAAACGAGGAAAAGAAATTTTTTCACTTTACAATTTGGTAAGCATTTTTTCCTTCAAAAGCTTGTAACGCTTGTATAATCTTTAACCTCTTCCATAAGGCTATGTTTCAAACCAAGAGCTACTTTAAAGTTTCGTAAAATAGAAGGGGCTGGGTACAGGAGAGTGTTGCCTACCATAAACAAAGCCCTGGGTTTGATCCCTTGGCACTGCATAAGCTGTGGCAGGGCATGCCTGTGATTCCACGCTCAGGAGGCCGAGGCAGGAGGATCAGAAATTCAAGAACAGCCTGGTCTACATGAAACCCTATCTCAAAAATAAAAAAACCATCACAGAAACAAATTATATAAAGAATATTTAGGAAGTAGAGTATCTATAGTTTTGGGGTTTTTTTTTTTTTGAGGATTTTATTATGTTAAGATCCCTCCTTCCAAAGAAAGAATCAAAAAAGTAACCCCAAATAAAATTTTTGAGTTCTTTGAAGCTGGAAGTAGCTTGTTTGCTCATTTTTCACTATCCTATTTAACTTACCAGGGGAAAGCTGTCTTCCCCAATAAGCTGTCAAAAGTAAGTGGTCACCTCTCCTGAACAGCAGAGCCACCCAGGCAGGGCAGGGCAGGGCAACTCTTATGATCCTTCTGCAGTCCTACCCCATCTCTCTCCCCCATAAACCTTTGGGGCCCTCACCTCCCCTCCCTTCTCCACATAAAGAAGAAAGCCTCTTTGAGGGACTGACAAATGGTCTCTTCACAGAAAGGTCCCTCACCACTCTTGACAGGATACCATTCTACTCCATCAACTCCCACATCTAAAACCCTCTTCTTGGCGAGTTCTCATTCTCTCACTTTTCAAACACTTGGGAGCTGGGAAAAAATTATTGTACACTGGTTTGTTGCTCCTCTTGCTAAATGACTCAGAGTTTTGCTTCCTGCTTCAAATTCTATTACTATTCTGATAATACCAATCACCACACGAATGACCGTGAGTCATATGATCTTGACCTTAATTCCAAGATTTTTATTTCACACATGCTTTCCCCCAGGGACAAATTTTCTTACTTTTCAAATCACTTTATTGGAATTACATCCTTAGTCTTTTCTACAGAGGGTCTTCTTCCTCCAATTATTCTATGTGCATTACAACAGTATCCCTTTCTCTAATGATTTCATCATCCTCACCTGTTTACCAGAAGTATACCCTCCTCCCCTGCCTTCAATCACACCCTCTCAGTCGCCCACTCTTCCTTGGTCACCTCAGTTCACTTCTCTCCCTCCATTAGCTCCTTAACACAGGCACTGTCAGCATCTCTCCCCAGATTTCTGTTAACAATGGCTGGACTCTGTCCTGGGGTGATCTACAAGCTCAAATCATCAACTCAGTCTTTATCTCTAAACCAGCCCTAGTTAGAGCAAGAGCAAAGCTTTCCAACAGAATTATAATGTCATAAATCTCTTATCTATCACACATTAAAATGCCACCCTAAAAAAGCAAAAAGAAATGGATTTTATTTAACTTAACATATTTCAAATATTATAAAATGTAACTAACATAAAAATTACTAATTTGGCATTTTCCATTGTTTAATACTAAGTCTTTGGAGTCTGGTATGCATTTAACATACATATGGCACACTGTAAGCACTGTCACATTTGAAGCACTATCTACATCCCACATGCTTAATGGCTGCACACTAGACAGTACTACTCTAGATCCCTATGATACAGATCCCCTGAGGCTGTCCACACACACCTGACTCAATCTTCCCCAGCTAGGACTCACTTCTAGTGTGTCATCAAATTCTGGTGAGTCAAGCTTCTAAGCATATCCCTCATCTCTCCCCCTTCTTCATCCCTCATTAACATCTTGGCAAAAACCAGCTATATATTTCAAATGGGAAAAAAGGCAATAGCTCCCAAACCAGTTTTCTGTCAGCATACTACTTCACTGTAATGCCAGGCATGGGTTAAACAAAGGTTTGGCAAGGCAGGGATGTACACTGGTCTCTCTATAAACTGTCAAAGAGGTCTGCTAGGCCAGGGTATACTAGGGTGTGTGTGTTAAGGCTTCAAGCTCCTGTGGGTCTCCCCTCTTATAAAGAGGCAAAAATGATAAAATGGTTTATCAGACTGCTTAGCAGTCTGGATTTGAGGGTCCAAGTTTTTTTGTTTTTGTTTTGTTTTTTCATATGTATGAGTGTTATTATGCCTGCTTGTGTGTAAGTGCACCTGTGTCGTGCAGTGCCTGAGGAGGAGAGAAGAGGGTGTCGGATCCTCTGGAACTGGAGTTACGGATAATTGTTAGTTGCCATGTGGACGCTGGGATTCAAACGCTGCAAGAACAGCCAATGCTCTTAACTGCTGAGCCATCTCTCCAGCCCCAAGTTTTTATAGAGCTGACTCTGAATACCTTAGCTGTAAATGTGGGGCTCTTGAGAGAGAGCACTTTAAAGTCTAAGGAGTTACAGTAACCACACATCTAATCAGTCCTATAAGGAACTGAGCTTTGGTGTCACTCTGACAGTTGTGGGGAAAGGATACCTGACTTTTCCAACTAGCCTGTTATCAAGGTCACTCATGAACGATTCTTCAATAATTTTGTTCCTTATGAACTCCAAGCTATTTCATACATCTCTAACATTTTGCCCCAGTCTCAGCCATCCAAAATTTACAAAATGAAAATCTCATGGGGCAATGACCCTGATACACTGTACTAGCCTGAAGTTCAAAGGCCACGAAACTATCTCACAACACTTACACAATGTAGCTTGCCTTACCTGCTCCTCCGCCCAAATAGACTAAGCCACTGAACTTCCCCAAAGCAGACATGGTCTTCCATTCTGGCATGCTTTCTTGCCTGTTATTCTACCCAACTTAAATAACTTGGCTTCTCCTGATTCTTTCACACCTTTTTCCCCCAGAGCTGAAGACTGAACCCAGGGCCTTGGCACTTGCTAGGCAAGCGCTGCACAACTGAGCTACAACCCAACCGTCATGCTCATTTTATAAAAACACACCCCAGCTTCCAGAACCCATACCTCACAATGACCCCACCTCTTGTACACTTGTACTTCCTAATTCCCATGCCCCAAAGGTCTTCCATGGTCTAAGAATACCCAGAATATCCCATTGGAATTTGATGCTACCAAATTACATTTGGGATTTATCAACCCCCGCCCCACACTTTGGAAAGCATAAACTCCTGAAAAGCACAAGCTGTTTTGCATGGCAGAGATACAAGTCCTCAATAAGGTTAATTAACTGAATGAATAGATGCTAGAAGTTAAGACAGCGTAACATACCAGGTTTTGTTAAACTGTTAGACTCTGCTTCTTCCAACCCAACATCTGAAAACGAAGCTTCGGATGGTACCTTCTTTTGCTCATCTTTTAAACTCTGTGCAATTTGCTACATAGAGAAATAAGAAAAAAACATTACAGTTTTCAGCAGCATTTGGCAATCTGAACCAGCTGAAAAGGAAATGATGTTCCAAGAACGCCAATAAAACCAGGTATCATCTGTAAGTGCCTGCTAATTACAAAAGGGGGAATAAACTTTTATAATCACCACTTCAGCCATTAATGAAAGAACCTGATATTAAGTTCATGCATCAGCTATTTAGTATTCCTACCAAAATAATTTTTTTAGTTAGCCCTAATCTAAGCAAGAAGAAACAATCAGCAAGCCCATAATGTGGCACATTTTACAATAAAGCTGGCCTGATCTCTTCAAGACAGTCAATGTTATAAAAATAAAACACAAAGTGCAAGTGGACTCTCAATTTGATTTTTTTCTTAATTTTTATTTTATGTATTGTGTGGGTGCCACAGCACACAAATGGAAGTCAAAGGACAACTTTCAGAGGTCAGTTCTTTCCTTCCACTGGGCTTCCAGGGATCAAACTCAGGTCATCAGGCTTGCTTACCACTGAGCCATCTTGCTGGTCCAGGAGTCAAGATAAAAGAGGAGCTAGAGAGATGGCACTTCTTGCCCTTCTAGAGGACCCAAGTTCATTTCCCAGCACTCACATCAGGCAACTTACAACCACCTGTAACTCCAGCTCTAAGGAATCCCACACCCTCTTCTGGTCTCCTCTGGGACCCACACACACATGGCATACACACACACAGATGCATACACATACACATAAATAAAATTGAAATCTTTGAAAAGAGAGATTAAAGAGACATAAAAAACCAAATGCAACATTCTCAATCCCACTTTTTAAAATCTTTTGGTGTCATCAGAAAAAAACATTTGAAAGATAGATGGAGAAGTTTTAATGTAGACTGTATGTAAAACAATGCTGAATTAATGTTAACTTCCTTAGGTATGAAAATGCTATTATAGTTTATAGACAAAGGTTTTATTTTTAAAAACAACTGACATGCTTAAGAGTTAAGTATAAGGGCTGGAGAGATGGCTCAGCAGTTAAGAACACTGACTGTTCTTGCAGAAGATCCAGGTTCAAATCCCAGCACCCACATGGCAGCTAACAAATGTCCATGACTCCAGTTCCAGGGGATCCGACAGCCTCTTCTGTCCTCTGCCGGCATTGCACGACATGGGTGCACTTACCTACATGGAGGCAATATATGCATACATATAAAATAAAAATTTTTTTTTTAATTTTTTAAAAAGAGTTAAGTATCAAGAGCCTTCAACTTACAATGATTAAGCAACAAAATATACACACAAAAAGATAAAGCAAATGATACAAAACACAACTAATGAATCTGAAAAACTGGATATTTGAATCTAGAATTTTAGGAACTATATTGTTTTTAGGTGTGGTACTTGATTATGTTAAAAGTATCCCTACCTTTCAGAGTTACATATGGAATTATTTACAAACTGAAACAATGTTTAAAGTTGTCCTAAAATAATTAATGGGGGGCGGGGGTAAGGAAATTTAAGTAAACGAGACTGGCCACTGCTGAGGCTGCCATAATAGAGCTCATTGCATTATTTTTTGCTTTTATTTGCAATGTGAATTCAAGTTTTAATTTGAATTTTTTATTTAAAAAACTCTAGGTTCTAATAATTCTGTTTTAACACTAATATGCTAGGCTGTCATTAAACTCTGTCCAAAGATCAAAAATATGAAGGCATAATAACAGTACCAAAGGATCAGTGTGATAAATCAAAGCATTCAAGCACTAAGTCAGATGTTAGTACAATATAATTTTGAGGGGATGGTCTTCCAGGTTTTTATGTCATTCATAAAGAAAAAGAGAAATTTCAGAAAGCACTCACTCATTTTAAAATTTAAAAATGCATATATCCTGGAAAAGGGGAGAAAACTGAATAAAATGCTTACCAAACATAAATACAAATTAACAAATTATTTGCGTTTAATTTTTTAATGTTTCATTTCCTATGACTTTGTTTTAATATTTTACTTATTATTTTTATTTTATGTGTATGCATGTATTGCCTGCATGTATGGATGTACACCCATGTTGTGCAATCCCCATGGAGGACGGAAGAGGCTGTTGGATCCCATGGAAATGGAATTACGGACAGTTGTTAGCTGCCATGTGGGTGCTGGGATTCAAACCCTCCAGGCCCCATTTCCTTTGACTTTTAAGACACGTTTATCTTGACTATATTTGAAGTGATGATTTAAAAAGAAATATTCTATTTTAGCTAATACAAAACATTTAAAAACTGTGGGGGATGGAGGGCAGAAAGGAGATAAAGAGACCCTACCTCCATCATGACTAGCTTATCAGGATATGCCAGGTCTCCAGGAGCTGGTTTGTAGCCCGTGATGTCTGTCTGAATATAGATATGGGTTCGGTATACAAGCCTCTCTTGCACATCTTCCAACATCTGCTTTACTCCAGCTGCAAATGCCCCCAGTTGTTCAGCTAATAAAAAGATGCAATCAACATTTTAGATTAGGAATGTACTTTCTTTTAACTAGGCAAAGATCATCTATACTGTCCAAAAGCAGCATCAGTATGAACCTCTGCTGTTTCAGAGGCTGTGGCTGAATTCTATTCCAGCATGGTTCAATGACCTTAGAAAAGTTTAACAGATGTCCTTCAATTTCCTCGGGTTTAAAATAAAGAAAAAAACTAGCCCTTATGCCTTCTTCCTGGAACTCTGAAAAATTACTTCTATTATTAATATGAAAAATGAATCTGAGTTTTAAGCATTGTACTGTTTAATTCATACAGCTTCAGATCAATACTAAAAGATAGCTAAGGCAGCTTATTAATTGGGCTGTTACCACCCCCCCCCATTTTACAAATTAACTGAATCTTACAGATACTAAACAACTTATTAACATTTTTACAAAAGAAAAAAGTGGAAAAATAGGGCAAAATGTAAGTTTATATAGTATTTCTTCATTTCTAAGATGCCAGTGAGTAAGAGTCATGAGTAAATCAGTAGCTTCTTTCCAAGGGATAGGGGATTAGCGACACTGCATAGTACATACAACATTCTTATTACTTTAAAAATTAACTTAAATTCAGAAGCACTTCGAGGTGAGAAATTGTACATCTTAGAATAAACAATACAGAAAAAATAACTTGGGAAAAGCAACAAACCCATGGTGACTACTGATGAAAGCAGTGATGGCAATAAAGTTTACCAGCCAAATAATTACTTGAATTCTTGGGGGGAGGTCTTTTTGAGACAGGATCTCCCTGTAGCTCCAACTGGCCTAGAACTTGCTATGTAGACCAGGCTGGCCTTGAACTCACAGAGATCCACCTGCCTCTGCCTCCCAAGTGCTGGGACTAAAGGCATGTGCCACCACACCCAGCTAAAGAATATTTTCTTAAAGGTACCTGACTACATCCTTACAGAAACTTATGTTCTCCATGACAATCATATGAAATATGGACTAACTGATCAGGTGGATTCAGCAGAGCTACTGAGATAAATGCTGTCCTTTATCTGCAACTTCGAAAACGATTAATCCTAACTATGGGAGTAATAAATTAGTATCTGATTTTTAACCAAAACCACGCACTTTAGTCACTTCTATGCATTCTAGGTCCACTCTACTAGAAATGCCTAACAAAAACAAATGATCAGCTCTCTCTGGATCCCAGACATCAGAATGAAAAGTGACTATTCTACTACTCATTTTGCCACATTTTACAATTCTCATCGTATTTAATTTGTACCATTATTTACAGGTTAAGGTGCAGCTTGACTCAAAAGGGAATAAGACATCAACCCAAGCTTCCAAACAATAGCCTTTAGCAGGGTGTGGTGGCACCCATGGTTAATCCCAGCACCCAGGATGCAGAGGCAGTCAGATCTCTGTGAGACTGAGGTGAGCCTAGTCTATATAGTGAGTTCCAGGCTAGTTGGGGCTACAGGGAAATCCTCAAAAAAAAAAAAAAAAAATCATCTTTTATTTTTAAATTTCTTAAATTCAAAAGTCTTGAGTATTTATGTATTGGTGGTGGGGAGAAAGAACAATCTATTATTTCTCCAATTCACTGAGCCACAGATATAATTAAGACCTTTAAAATGATCACTTCTACACATTTACCATTGTTCTGTACATGGTCTTCAAGCACTTCATTTTTAAGGATCCCACAAAGTTCCGATAAAGTCTCTAAGTGAATAACATGAATGATCAATGGCCTGAACACATCATACAACGATACGCACAGTTTCTCCAAAAGCTCACTAAAGTGAAAGAACAAAGCATGGTTATTAGTAATCATCTCCCCAGGAATTTCTAATGCTTTAAAAGCTTCACTCATTTCTTCTAGTCAAAAAGAAGACATATATACTAGAAAATGGAAAATGGTATCTCTGTACATTATAGAATGAGTTGTGATACTAATTCTGAAAAATGTTTTTGCTTTAAAAAGCCAGAATCAGTATTTAATCTGTTGACAGTTAATTAAAATTAGTTGCCCCCAACCAAAACTTTTGTTTATTTTAGTAGTAATTTTGTTTATATTCATCTAAAATCCAAATTATTTTGGTATACTTTATATTCTACTTCACTGCAGATCAATCAGTATTTTCCCACAAGAAAGACATGTTCAAACTTAATATATATAGATTTAGATAAACAAAAGTCAAATATTTGGAGAAATACTAGGTATTTCAAAACTTTCAACATATGAAAAGAGAAAGGCTGTGAGTCTTTAGACCATCCACAGCACTCTTCTCCATGAAGCACTTCGTCAAAAGTGCTCCCCCAACCAAAACCATAAACTACACTTTGCTTTCCTCATTACAAGAGTCATTATCTTAGAATCTTTATGTGTCAAAATAGCCACCATGAAGAAACAATGGATCTGGAAGATACTTTGAAAAAAATAAGTATTAGTAACTAACATCTGTATTTTGAAGCACTCTTTAGTAGTTAGAATCAGAGCATTTCTAAACTAGAAGGACTGACGGTACTTAGTGGAGATCAAGGGAGCAAGATTCCAGGACTTAGTTCTCTGTATAGAATTCCTGCTATCATTTCATAAATCTCCAAAATTTTACTAAAAAATACTAAAACACATTACCTTTCAACTACAGACAAGAAAATAATCACAATCAACAATATTCTGTTCATATTAACAAAAAAGTGAAACACTGCAGCCAATTGTAGAATGTTTCTATAATATACTATCCATTATTGTCAATAGCAATTAAATCTCGTCCACAAGAGCTGGAGTCCACATATCACCTACTCTAATTTTGACGTCGGCTTTGTGAAAAATTCATTGTAAAGTTGGTGCTCATCCTGGCATACATGGACCATAAAGGCACAGCCACTGCGAACCTGCAATAAACAAACACATACCACCTACAGTCAAAGGCACGCAACACTCTCAGCACTTACAAAGTAAAGCCTACACTTTGCTTGCAAAGAGATATACGTATATATTCATGAAACAACTTACTGAAAAACAGAAAATGGCTGGGTCTCGATAGATTGTTGCAAAATAGAACCCAGCTTTTCATTTTTCTTAATGCTTTATTTTTCTAAACTTTTAAAAATGAAAATTAACTACTTTTCTAGTTAAAAGGGGAGTATTAAAAAAAATCTTTATGTGTTTTCCTAAAGTATGAATTAAAATCACACTAAACGAAAAAGCACTTCTGCGTCAAAACCTAAGCTGAAGTCTGGGCACAGCGGCACACATATCTACCCCAAATTTATTTCAAATGCATTCAGGAGGCTGAGGCAGGCTGATCACAAGTTGAAGGCCAGCCTAGGTGACACTAATGAGACTCTCTCTTTAACACACAGATTTTTTAAATTGCATTTTCTACACAAATCCACTAATTCTGAAACTTCATCTTTCAAGGAAGAATACTCATATATGAATCTTCATATCTCAAAAAAAATAAAAATGAGAATATTCTGCAAAATTGATTAAAGTTAATTACCAAAGTAGATCAACCATAACTGGAAAAAACAAAAACAAAAACTGTTGATATGGGAACCAAAGCCATATAAACTTGCTAATTCAGGTATGACTTATTTTGCTCCCCAAAATAAGTTGTGTTCTACAAAAATAAGCTTAGTGGCAATTGCTCAGAAAATATAAAGACATAACCAAATCTGGAAAAATGTACAATAAGAGGAAGACAAACCAAGTAAGAACCAAAACAGCTCAGAGGAAGGTTTACCATCAAAGCAAAACAGGGGGGACTTACCAAGGCACAGTGATCTCTGTTGTTTTGGCTGGTCAGCTCTGTGACAGTACAAGCTATACTTGGGCCCAAAAGATGCTCCCGCTGATCAAGGTAGCACTGGTGGATATCATTTAGCAGTTGCTGGTATCTGATGGAAGGCAAATGAAAAATAAGACTGGAAATTACTATGTCTTCTCTCCTAGGTAGATTCTAGTCCACACACACACACACACACACACACACACACACACACACGAGCAAAACATGAAAGTAGAAGGGGAACTATTTGGGGACCAATGGGGAGTAGAGAGAAAGAGGAGGGCATGGGTGATGAATATGGTCAAAGTACATGACATACTTGAATGAAAGTGTCTTGATGAAACCTATCACAAGGTACAATGAGTATATAATTTTTTTAAACTAGAAAAAAATAGTAAGGCTGGGGTATAAATTTATTTCAAATGCATACATTAAATCTATTCTTAAATTTCATAATAGGTTGCCAAGCTTCTACAGCCATAATGGTTGTCTCTCACTTGCCCACATTAAACACCTAGGAATACAAACATAAAACAAATCCTATAATGAAGTGATGCTGTAGTTTTGACTTTCAAGGAAGGATTTCTCTTGTAAGAATAGAGACCTCATATCTGCCTAAATGAAAAGGAAGCCCTATATTACCACAATGGTAAGCTTGCTAAGCCCAAGCCTGAGACCTTGTTCTACAAAGCCGACCATGTAACATGAGCATATGGGAGTGACTGCTCAGAAGCTATCAGGGACATAGCCAGATCTGGAAGGGTGCTACACAGGGAGATAAAAGAAATCAAAGCACTTCTGAATACTCACTCGGGTATCTTCTCAGATCGTTGTTCTATTTGTTCAATGAGAGTCTGCAGAGTAAAGAAAAATACATTACCTCCACCTGTTTAACTTTTCCTTTCTTTCGGGCTATATTAGTATCACTCACTTTTAAAACTATTAAAATTCATTAAAATGACATGAAAATAATCATGCTTAATATTTCATTATATTTTGTTTCTGTTTTTGTGTACCCAGTTAGTATATTATATTCTGTTTGGTGGGGGAGGGTTGTTTCTGTTTTTGAGACAGGGTCTCCCTATAGCCCCAGGTGGCCTCACAGAAATCTGCCTGTCTTTGCCTCCAGACTGCTGGAATAAAAGGTTTGTGCCATCATGCCTGGCACTGAGTATATTTTCTTTTCAAACAGGCTAAAAAAGTTGGAATTATACTATATATTCAGCTTTATAATCTAATCATTAAACAATTTTCAGTAATAAATAATATACAGAAAGCCTTAATACACCACCTGGTACCTGCTAAACATTCAAATGAAATATTATAACAGCATTTAAAACATTATATGAAGCTGGGTATGGTGGCATATGCCTATAAATCAAAAATATCACAGAGACGTCCAGACTAGCCTAGGTTAATCGATAAGTTTGAGACCAACCTGAACTACATATGTGGCAACACGCTGTCTCAAAACAACAAAAATAAATGTAACATTATATGAAATTGTTATATATTTTCCTGTGGGTAGATGCACTCAAAATCAACTATTCTACTATTTGACATTTGTTTCCAAAGAATTGCAGCCACTAGGTCATAACCTAGAATGAGACTAGGGGTTCTGCTCCATCACAGCCCAGGCATGCCACTTCACTTCTCTTAACTCCACTTCCCACCAGAGTAAAGCAGTATAAGGAGTATTTCTCACATGTGTACTTCAACACACTGAGTTGAGTCAAAACAGAGATGTACTTTATAGGTTTTTGAGCTGTTCTATTAAAAATGTTTTCAGAGGGGACTGTAGAGATGGCTCAGCAGTTAAGAGCACTGGCTGCTCTTGCAGAGGACCTGGGTTCAATTCCCAGCAGTCACATGGCAGCTAACAACTCTCCATAACTCAGTTCCAGGAAATCCAACGCCCTCTATTGACCTCTGTGGGCACTGCATGACACGGGTACACCTACATACATGCAGGCAATATACTCATACATATAAAATAGAAATAATAAATGGTTTTAAAAAATTAATGTTTTGTATATTTTAAAATGAAATGAAGATCTTTTTTAAAGGTTAAAACCTCATTCAATTTTATGTCTTGTAGGGTTTACACTGAGTTCAACATTGTATAACTGTATTAATTCAACTGTGAACCTAAAAATCTACAGCATCTTTGCTCTAGCACTAGTTTTCTGTTGTTAATGAATGTTCGTGACCTGTTGGTTGAGATTTGTGTAGTGTATGTGGTTTAAAGAAAGCATTATTTAGGGCTGGAGAGATGGCTCAACTGTTGGGAGCACTGGTTATTCTTGCAGAGGACCCGGGTTCGATTCCCAGCACCACATGGCCACTAACCACTGTCCATAACTCCAGTTCCAAGGGATCCAACACCCTCTGCTGACCTACGTGGGCACTGCACAACACGGTTGCACCTACCTACATGCAGGCAACATACACATGAAATAAAAATAAATAAAATATTTTTTTAAAAAAAAGAAAGAAAAGAATCTGAAAAGCCAGGCGTGGTGGTGCATGCCTTTAATCCCAGTACTCAGGAAGCAGAGGGAGATGGATCTGTGAGTTCGAGGCCAACCAGGTCTACATAGAGAGCTCCAGGCCAGCTGGTCCTCTGGGGAGACCCTGCCTCAAAACTACCAAAAAAAAAAAGAATCTGGAATTGGAGAGATGGCTCAGTGGTTAAGAGCATTATTGACTGAGTGTATTGCCTGCATGTATGTAAGTGCATCCATGACATGCAATGCCTACGGAGGTCACAAGAGGGTGTCGGATTCCCCTTGAACTGGAGCTATGGATAGTTGCTAGCTGCCATGTGGGTACTAGGATTCAAACCCATGTCCTCTGCAAGAGTAGTCAGTGCTCTTAACCTCTGAGCCACCTCTCCAGCCCCAACACTATGTATTTCAAAACTTTGTTTTGTCTTGCTGATTTAAAGAAATCTCACTATAACTTTTTTTTTTTTTTTTTGGTCTTTTTGAGACAGCATCTCCCTGTAGCCCCAGCTGTCCTGGAACTCACTATGTAGACCAGGCTGGCCTCAAACTCACAGAGATCCGCCTGCCTGGGATTAAAGGCGTGCACCACCACCAGCTATAATTTATTTTTTAGCAGTACATCCCAATCAGTAAATTAAACTAGAAAGAACTGCTATTTTAAAAATTAAGTCTCTCTAACCAGGAACAAAACAGGTTTACTTTTTCTTTTATTATTTTTTGTATGGTTTTAGCATTTTCTTCATTCCTTAGATTTCCATTAAGGTTATTGCTAGGTAAATATTTTATGCTTTCTGTCATCAAAACAAGTGGGACTCCATCACATACACTAATTGGTTACTATATGTCTGAGTAAAGCCACTCATTCTACAGTCACCTACCACATGAAGTCCCCTTCCCTTTGCCATTTCTATCCTGATCGTTTTGCCCTAAATTTATTTTCATTCTTTTATTTATAATTTTTTGGTGAATACACAAATAAATGTGTTGCACTCTGCCCTATTTACCACCTCAACCTTCCCTCCTTCATCCCCCTCCTTTCCTTCTTGATGATTGCTTTACTCCCCCAAATAGTCCTTTCTCCTTTCCTGGTGTGTATGTTCAATTGCACTCTTGTTTCCATACCTTTCTCCACTTTCCTAGTCCCCTTCTACTTTAATGTTCTGTGCATGTATGTATATACGTACATATGGAAGTTTTATATCTATATTCTGCATAAGAGAAGGCATGTTCTATTTGTCTTTCTGAATCTGACTTATTTCTCTTAGCACAATAATATCCAATCCTAGTCATTTTCCTTGTAATTTCATTCTTCCTAACACATGGATAAAGTTCCATTGTGAATATCTGCTGTATTTCTCCTTATCCATTCATCTGTTGAGCACCTAGGATCATTCTATTCTTAGTATTTTGAATAGTGAAGCAATAAACATGGATGTCCAAATGTGGCCGGGATCTGCTGTCCTTCCAGATGTATATACCCAAGAGTGGCAGAGTGAAGTAACATGATAATTTTAGTTCATGATTTTTTTTTTCCTACTCACATTTTTATCAGTGGCTTTTAACAGATAAAAGAAATCAATCGAGCACAATCTAAATCTTTTTTTTTCCTTTCTCTCCCTTTGTCTTGTTGAGACAGGGTCTCCCTGTAGCCCCAGCTGTCCTGGAACTCACTATGTAGAGCAGGCTGGCCTCGAACTCACCAAGATCCGCCTGCCTCTGCCTCCCAAGTGCTGAGATTAACCATATAAATCTTCTATCACCAACTGACTACTCTTTTCTTCTATCTTCTGCACACAAAACTAAGTTTTTCCCATCTCAAAAACAAAAATATTCTTCTTCCTTTCAACTAGCTGACTTAAAAAGGAAACAAAGAACATGAAGTTGTCAGTAAAAGTGTTTTATTCTAGAACCTTCACGTGGGTAGAAAGAATACACATGTGTAAGTTCCAATTAACTACTTCAATTGTCAGAAAACAGATACTAACACTTTTTAACCCCTCTTTCCAATCATTTAATCAATATAAATACATTGGGGTTAGAGAGATGGCTCGGTGCTTAAGAGCTAGTACTGTTCTTGCAGAGGACCAAGGTTTGGTTCCCAGCATCCACATGATGGCTAACAACCACTCATAACTCCAGTTCCAAGGGCTCCAATGCCCTCTTCTGCATACACACAACACATACACATAAATAAATAAATATTTTAAAGATTATGGATATCCTTTAAATATCAGACACTTCCAAGGAAGTAAGGCAATATCCAACCTCATACAATATACCATCAGTGCCTTCTCATCTGAATGACTACACACCCTTGCCTGTTAATGAGCCTTCCCTACCTCAAATCTCTTCACCAGAATACATTTCCTATTCTGCACCCATACATTTGAAATGGTAAACCTCACTAAATTACTCTTCTGTTTAAGATAGGTCACTTTTTTCTACTTTTCATGAGTTAGTCTATCACATAACATGCTTTGTCACTTTTCTTGTCTTCTTTCCCATCATTCTCTAATAACATTCTATATTTCAGTCATAATAAATAATGTCTCTGCAACCTTCCCTGTAATGCTGTTCTTTGTATAAAATACCCTTATCAATCCCTTCAAATCCACTATATATCTGAGCCCTCAACTTTATTTTTACATTTATTTAGTATTTGTCTGTCTGTCTGTCTGTCAGAGCATATCTTGCAGGAATCAGTTCTTTCCTTCCACCTGTGTGGATTCCAGGGATTGAACTCAGGTTATCAGCCTTAGCAACAAGTGCTTTAACCACTGAGCCACTCACCAGTCCTCAAATCCAAAGTTTCATCCAGAAATCTCCCTGAGCACCACAGGAAGAGCTAAATGTTTCCTGCTCTGTGGACTTCCACACCCAGGAAATATCTCTAAGACACACTGCTGAGATCTGGAAGGGACAGTGCCTTCCTTTCACTCAAGTTCACCTCCCTGGGATAAGTACAGCAAGAGGACATCCAAAGGGCCAGCTAGAAGAATTCATAGCAATATCCGATTTATATCAAGACTTACTCTGACTTTAGGGGCAGCAGCTCGAAATTTCACATAAAATAACGTGAAGGCATTGTCTGCATTAGGTACTGATGAAGGGTCCTGAGGAAACATGGGGAGGATAGGAAAGAAAGGTATTTAGCAAACAAAGAAATCATTCAGAAAATGAACCCTAAACATTTCATATGTCTACTGCTTGGCCTCCGTATCAAACAAAAGCTTAGAGAAGAAAGATCTCTTGGGTTGGAGAGATGGCTCAGCAGTTAAGAACACTGTTCTTGCAGAAGACCCGGGTTCGAATCCCAGCACCCACATGGCAGCTAACAACTGTCTGTAACTCCAGTTCCAGGGGATCTGACGGCCTCTTTTGTCCTCCAAGGGCACTGCACTACACAGGTGCACTTACCTACATGCAGGCAATACATTCATACACATAAAATAAAAAATAATAAATATTTTTTTAAAAAAGAAGAAAGATCTCAGAGTGGTTATATATTATTATTGTTTCAACCGAGAATCAATGGTGCTATCACCCCTCTTCATTAGTACTTAAAATTTATTCTGTATTACTTGAACTTGGGTAGTAAATACATATGATTCAGATTTATACTATTATTCACTGAGTATAAGACATTATTAGCCAAATTCCTCAACTTTTCTGAGATTCAGTACATGTCCTTAAGTAAGATTTAATTTTTTAACCTTTTGTTTTCCCCTCCATTAGTGAGGACTGAATCCAGGGCAGGTGCTCTACCACTAAGGACTAAACAACATGCCCAGCCTATCTTTGATTTGGTTTGGTTTTGAGACATGGTCTCACTAAGATACACAGATTATCTGAACTCACTATGTAGCCCAGGCTGGCCTTGAACTACTTATCTCTTGCCTCAGTCCCCTAAGCAGCTGAGATCATAGGTATGTCCAGATAAAAATTTAAAAAATAAAATATAAGGGCTGGAGAGATGGGTCAGACATTACAAGGCCCTGGTTTCAATCCCTAGCACTGAGGCAGGGAAGGGATTTTAATTATCTACCAACCAAAGTGAATCAATTTTATTATTTTGGGATACTCCATCTTGCAAGCAAAGCATGTTTCAAATGACAAATAGCTTGTATCTCATTTTACTACTTATCTAATGATACTGGGTTCTTCTCATGCTTTTAAACATTATTTCAAAATTTAATAGACTTGGGCTGGAGAGATGTCTCAGTGGTTAAGAGCACTGGCTGTTATTGCAGAGGACCTGGGTTTGAAGCCCAGCACCCACGTGGTGGCTAACCATCCACAATTCCAGTTCCAATGGATCCAACACCCTCTTCTGTCCTCCGTGGGCAGTGCACAACACAGGTGCACTTACATACATGTAGGTATAACACACACACATAAAAATAAAAATAAATAAATTTTTGAAAAACACTAATAGACATTTATAATAGAAACATATTTCGCTATTACAAAAAACCTATAGCATATATTCTTATTTAATAAAGGCAAAATTTTTAATTACATGCTATTAATTTCAGACAAAGACTGTGAAAAGTTAATGACTGACTCAAAAATAAAAAACAAGGTGTCATTGGGGTCAATTAACTCACCCTTTTTATTAACTGATTTGTGAGGGTCTGTAGCGTGTTCACAGTGTATGTCCTCATGAGATGCAAAGCTTTAGAAAGGCATTGTTTAAACTTCAGTAAGTAAACAGGATAATCTTTAAAATTGGGCTGTACACAAAAAGAAAGATTTACAAAGAAATAAATATCAACAATAACCAAGTTTTCAATGAAAACCAAGGTGTCCTTTATGTAAAGCAATATATGAAGTTTAAAAAAAAAAGGGTATGTAGACAAGTTCCATGAAGATGACTATGTGAATGACTTGGTCACAGCCAAATCTCCTGTGCCTGGTATAAAGCAGGGGCTCAATCAACATTTGCAGAACATAATTTCAGTGCCCTACTAACTAGAGACTAGTATGTAAGACCCTATGAGAAACAGAATGGGAGTTGGCAAAAATAAATTCAGCAACAGAGCTGGAGCGATGGCTCAGCAGTTAAAAGCATTGGCTGCTCTTGCACAGGACCCGGGTCCAGTTCTCATCACCCACAGGGTGACTAACCATCCATAACTCCAGTTCTAAGGGATCTAACACCCTCTTCTGACCTCCACAGCACTGCACACACATAGTACACTTACATACATGCAGGCAAAACACTCATATACATGAAATAAAAATAAATAATTTTTAACTAAAAAAATAAAATAAAAATAAGTAAGTACAGCAGTAAATCCTTGAGATCAAGAGATGGGTTAAATCATTTATGTATTTTCCCCCAGGTAACACTGTTTCCAAAATACTATCTTACACATCTGTGTATAAACAACTTAAAAACAGCTCATCATCTTGGGTAGGATAAATCTGAATCAGCCAGGACCTTTTTCACTCCAGGAGACCCTCAAAGCTGAAAGTACTTTTTATACCACTAATAACTGCAACCAAAAGCTTACGAGCTTTTCTTTAACATGTTACAAACACATACAGTCATCCCTCAGTATTCAGACAGCACAAGTTCCATGATGCCTAATGATAATAAAAATCCATGGGTACTCAAATAAACTTAAATAAAACAGCACAGTATTTGCAAATAATCTATTCATATTCTTCTATATACTTTAAATCATCACTAGGTTACTTATAACACCTACTATAATGTGAACACTGTACAAATAGTTGTTACACTGTACTGTTCAGAAAATAATGACGTAAAAAAAGTCTACATGTTCAGTACAAACACCATTTTTTTCTCAGTCTTTTTGATACACAACTGGATGAACCCAAAGCCATGAATACAGAGGATTGACTGAAATTTCCCCACTCAGAAAAAAATAATTTTATAGATTATATAATCAGATTGTAAACTATTTTAAAAACATAAAAATA